GCGTATTTTTGAGGGCATGGGACGGTTCATCCCAACGAAAGTCCTGAAGACGCGACCAGGAGACCCAAGCTGGTGGACTCCCGAATGCTCAGCTGCTGTTACCACCAAACTCCAGGCATGGCGCCGACTCCGCAAGCACTCGACCAATCCTGTTCTTCAGGCAGAGTATAGACGGGCATGCTTGGCTTCTGCGCCGCGATTATCCAGCGCTAAGCAAGCACATCTCCAGCGCACCAGAGCGAAGCTTGCCGCTGAACAGGCAGCCTCCAGGATAAGGAGTGGTGGAACCTGATCAAGCGCTCCGGAGGGCTCGTTAGAGACAGCTCTATCCCAGTTCTCGTCGACAGCCAAGGCAATGAGCACACCAGTAATACCGAGAAGACCAAACTCATGTGCTAGTGCTTCGCTGATAAATTCAGCCTTGAGAATGACTTCGACACCTCCTGCACAATGCCCCCTGTTCGCCCACGCTCCCAGAGTTCGCTCACTACAATCCACTTCCGCCCAGCCACAGTCCGCCGCACCCTGCTTGCTCTCAACCCCAGCAAGGCCACTGGACCTGACTCAATACCTGCCAGAGTCCTGACGATCTGCGCCGAACCGTTGGCTCTCCCACTTTCCCGGCTATTTGCCCTGTGCTTCCGCAATGGCTATCAACCTGAAACCTGGAAACTTGCAAATGTTGTGCCTATTCACAAAAAAGGGTCAAAGTCCAAATCCCAAGAATTACCGACCAATTTCCCTGTTGTCTGTCATGTCCAAATGCATGGAGTCGATAATGAACCGTGGTCTGTCGAACTTCCTGGAGAAGAATTCTATCCTGTCGTCGCGGCAATTCGGCTTCCGCGCCGGACTTGGCACATCAGATCTTCTGATCGCACTCCAGCATGCGTGGCCCCAGACAGCTGCCCAGGGAGGCCTTGTCAGGGTGCTCGCAGGGGACATCGCTGTGGCCTTCGACAAGGTCTCACACCCAGGAGTCCTTCACAAAGCAGAGCAATACGGTGTCAAAGGGTCCCTGCTCTGTTGGCTGCGGAGTTGTCTCACTAGCCGCAAGATCAAAGTTGTCGTAGCCTCGTAGGTGGCCAGGCCTCTACTACCCGTGACATCCAGTCAGGGGTGCCGCAGGGCAGCATCCTCGGCCCAACGCTGTTAATTCCTGATCTACATCAACGATGCAGAGGACAACCTACCTGAAGAGGCTAAACTCGCAGTATATGCCGACGACACCACGGTATATCACAACCCGAGCCAATATCCCAGATGGAGTCGCAACGCTCCAGCAGGCTGTTGACGCACTTGCCGACTGGGGCACCCTCTGGCGAATCGGGGTTGAGCCGACAAAGTCGCAAGCCCTCATGATCACCCACCGACGATCCCACCACCCAGTTCCCTCTATCACATTCCAGGGGACAGACGTACCTGAGGTGGATCAGCTCCGCCTCTTAGGAGTAACATTAATTTTGACAGCCAGCTATGCTTCAAGCAGCACATACGGTCCCTCGCAATACGCGGTGCGCAGCGACTCGGCTTCTTCCGCAAGGTACGGATGAGCGCAGCACCCTCCACACTAGCCAAGCTCACAGCCATCCAACGTAGGGCACTCCACGTCATCGGTGATGGCTGCTACCTGCCCAGCCTGGACATCCGTCGCTCTGTTGCTATGCATATGCTGCCCTCTGCTACCTGTTCAAGCTCCACTATCTGACTGGCCCTGCCATGATCACAGCCCTCAGTCCTACCCCCGCCAGCTCCAGCCCCAGCCCGGGCCCGCACCCGAGCCAGCGTGCGCACAATTGCGAGCCACCATCCGTTCCAGCTGACCAAGACTGTCCCACCTCAGTCTCGGAACAATGTCCTTCGGTCCTTCCCCCACTGTATGATTGACACCTGGAATTTCCTCCCAGCCTCTATCCTCAGTGCTCGCCCCTCCCAGAAGTCGATGCAGACCTTCAAGAAGGTCTATGACCACCTGAGGCAGTCTGACTAGGACTGGGCAACTGACCGCCTCTAGCCTCCTCCAGGATTATGCCCCTGCTTCTCCCACCCCAAGCTTCGCCAATCCTGAGTAGCCAATCTCCACTGCTACCATATTGCACCCTTCATTTGACACTCTCCTTTCACTCCTATTATCTGTTTGATTATTTGCTATTTTCTGCTGTGTTCCAAAATTAGATCCTCTCCTTCGTTCTAAGTCTTCCATTTTCTCTAGTGCTTTTTCCCCTCGTGCTTATGCTTCTCTCCATAATTTGGTGCGCCTGTCATGTGAAGATGCCGAGACCTCTGGTCGGTTGAGCATGGCAAGCCCCACCAGCACCATCTCACCCCATGCTAGCCCCATGTGCCTGCCGGTGAGTTGTGTATTTTGTAAAAAAAAATAAAATACTCAAGTCTGTGGACAGCAACTGTTTCGCTCTGTTAGAGCTCATCAGCACAAAAAAAATGCTTGGTCAGAGCTAGCAGTAGAGCTGTGAGAGGCTGCAGGTACATGTACCGGTATAATTATGTGGGGGTGCGGGAAGTAGCACGATGTCTGTGCTACTTCACGATGTCTGTGTGGAGCCTGCACTGGAGCCCCTGTCGGGTGAAATGTTCCCTCTTCGGTCGACCAACATCGAAGACTATGCTAGGCTGGATGTGGCAGCGCGGGGGTTGTAATTGTATGGGAGTAGGTTTGAGAGGGCAATGTTTGATGTTCAGGTGTTCAACCCTTTTGTCCCCTCAAATCGAAACCTTACACTCTCGTCTGTCTACAGAAAGGATGAGCAGGAGAAGCGGAGGAAATATGAGCGGCGAGTTCTGGAGGTAGAGCACTCGAAACACGCACCCAACAAGTGCAAATCGCTGGATCCATTGGTGTCAGTGGCACATGCTCATGTGGCGTCCCGCAGGGTTCCGTTCTCGGACCCGTGCTTTTCAACATCTACACCAGGCATGTGCTCACCATTGCCAGTCCGTCCCTCTCAGTGCAGTTTGCTGACGATATTGCTCTCACGTTCAGTCACCCTGATTGCCATGAAGTATCGCGAGTTCTCACAACGTCTACAACCGAGATTGCTAACCACCTCCAGGAACGGAATCTAATCCTGAACACTAGCAAAAGCCATGTCCTGCGAATTTCCGGCCAAGACATTACTGTAAAATGCCGTGGAAACCCGCTACCAGCAGTTCCCCATGCGAAGTACCTGGGCATCACGATAGACGAGCACGTTCGATTTGACGAACACGTTAACAATGTTGTGAAGATGGCCTCGCAGAAGGTGGGAGCACTCTGGAGAGCCCGCCGTTGCCTTACAAGAAAGTCCAGAGTGCAGTACGTGAAATCGTTGTGATGCCAGATTTGCTCTACGGGTCCGTGGCGTTCTCTGGGTGCCTTCGACAAGACCAGCGGTCCCGCCTTCAGTTCAGGTCCAGCAAAACCGTGCGGCACGCGCCGTATTCGGCCTGCCACCTCGCACAAGCGCCCAACCTCTGCTTGCTCGTCTGCAGCTGTATGGCATCGAAGAGCTCCACAAGCAAAAGACCCTTATTATGATCTGGCGTTGCTCGAATGGTCGGGCAAGCAATGCACTGCAAGCCTTTCTGGAGCGTCCCAGTACTCGAACAACGCGCTCGCAACGCAGCTTGGGCCTCCGACGTGCGTGGTATTTATTACCCAGTGCCACCAGTTCAAACAAGCCTGCCGCCCGTTCTGTCTTGCTAGCAGTAGCACCCACTACTGAACACTACAGGAACCTTTGAACGTCTGCGGTACTCCACAGTCCCAGTCATGTGCTGTTTACCGCCTCCCCGGTGTTGTATTCTAACGTTTAACGTTATTCATTGACTGAGCGTTCTTTGCTTTGTACTACACTATCATGTTAGGCTATTTCCTACAATATTTTACTGTTTCCATTCGCTTCCATGTAATTGGGCGACACCGCCCGTTTGGTTCTGCGAATTCAAATAAAAATGTACCTACCTACTCCTCCTTTGTGCCCATTGTCTTCTCCACCACTGGTGGACAGGGGAAAGCCTCATCTGCGCTGTTTGCCAGGATTGCCAGCAAACTGAACGACAAGCGCAATGAGCCTTTTCCGTCACCATGGCTTTCGTGCGGAGTAAACTGTCCTTCTATTCAGCCTAGTGAGAGCCATGGTTGCTAGTCTGCACGGATACCGGCGCTCTTCAGTGCCACTTCCAGTTCACTCGGCTGTTCTGGCGGCTGCTGAGTGTTCATTGTACGCGTATGACACAAGCACTGCTGATGTACATGGAGTTGCTTACCTCTCTTTCTTTCTTATCTTTTCTTTTCCTTCTTCTCTCTCTTTGTTTGCCACGGCGACCCCGTGTGCTGTCTGTGACTTTGAGCCTCATTTCACTGTACAGTGGTCCATCTATAATCCGGCACCATTTGTGCCACGAAAATCTGCTGGATTAGGGAGGGTGCTGGATTAACAAATCTGATTTACTGCTGCAATGTGCATGAAGAGGACATTTTGGCTACTGAAAATTGTGCTGGTTTATCGAGGGTGCTGGATTATAAAGTGCCGGATTAGAGAGGGACGACTGTACTACTCTTTTTTCTCTTTTACGTTTACTTTATACCAGGCGTGGGCCATCCCGGCCCTGGCCCTGTACATAGGTGCCACCATTTTTCTTTGTTTCAATAAATGGTACATTCTAAAAGAATAAAAAGTATGTGGTCACCAACAGTGGGCATAGTGAGATGGCAACAATTTGAACAAAGATAGTGCGTTACGGTGTTTTACGATTTCTTGATCCATGCTGGCAGTATAAACTGTATAATGTACAGTGATGTACGACGTACTCGTGCCAAAATTCCAAAAAAAATCAAAGTGCGAAAACTCAGCCAAAATTCCAAGAAATGAAATGTCATGTTGTGGCCAGGCGCACGTCTAGATCGATCCTGCTCATCGACTGCTTTTATTCTACGCGTCGTAGATCATAGTAGATGTACACAGCAAGGAAAATGTCAGGGCCAAATCTTGTTTTCTAAAAATGTTGCTGTTTACTGACTGTCACGGTAGTTGTTGAATCTACCTTGTCGACCATACCGCAAGGACTGAGTGCTGCTGGCTACTGAACGCCGAGCAGCACCAAGCAGTTGGCCAGTGTCACCTTTAGTAGCATTCTCATCGAGTGTTTTGTTTGCACAGCCGAGTCACTGCCGGCTGCTGATCAAACAGTGTAGTACACTACAGATCTGATAGCTGGCTCTTGGTTTTTGTGGCTCCATTCAATTCAAAAGACGGTCTCTTAGGCAATATTCACCATGAGGTGCACTGGCCTTCTTGTCCCAGTCCCGGTGCGCGTATCCGTGGTGTACGGGCTCTGTGCACTTGTGGTGGGATGGTTTGCCGTGACGGCGACCACACTGAGCCACGTCGACACTAGTTATAGAGTACGAGTAAGAGTGGATTCGGCGGAGCAGCCTCGGTTCATGCATTTGATCCTGAGCGCGCCGGACACGATGAAAGCCGTGTGGTACGAGGAGGCCAGCACCGGCAATCTGTCGTCGAGTGCGCACTGCGTGTACAGGTCAACCGCGCCCGCAACTAGTCCGCCCGCCTATGCGACCGGCGACAGTTACACGTACTCGGCTGGTGGATTTCTGGGCAGTCTTCACGAGGTGAACATGACAGGCTTATCTCCGGGTAGTACGTACCAGTATAGCTGCGCTACCGGTAATACGTCCACATCGGACTTGCAAAGTTTCACCCTGCAAGCACCTTCCGTTGGGCCTCTCCTGATCGGCTTCATCGCCGACATGGGAATTGACAATTCAGCGGCAACGATAGCCAGTCTGCGCAATGCCACGGATATGGGCATGCAGCTTGTGATTCACGCCGGCGACATCTCCTACGCGGACAGCCACGACCCGAAGGCGAACAACTCGCACGTCTGGATGCAGTACATGGCCAGCATGGAAAGCATCACGAGTCGCGTTCCCTACATGACCTGCCCGGGCAATCACGAGGCCGAGTATGACTTCGCCGCCTACCTGAACTGGCTGCCGATGCCCCAGGCGGCCAAGGTGTCGCCGACCGTGTTCTGGCACAGCTTCGACTATGGTGGCGTGCATTTCAGCATGTTCTCCACGGAGCACGACTTCTCCAACGCCAGCGCCCAGTACGAGTGGCTCGCCGGCGATCTGAAACGTGCTGATGCGAACCGCGCGTCCGTACCCTGGCTGATCGTGGTGGGCCACCGGCCGCTCTACTGCAGCTCTCTGGCGGAGATCAGCCGCTGCGACCAGGAAGCACCGCAGTACCGCTCCTATCTGGAGGAGCTGCTGAACGAGCACCGCGTGGACGTCTACGTCAACGGGCACAACCACCAGTACGAGCGCTCCTACCCGACCTACCGCGGCCAGCCCACTCAGAAGAACTTCAGCCGGCCTTCGGCGCCCGTGTACATTGTGAACGGAGCGGCGGGCAATATCCACCCGAATGATCCCACCTATCTGCCGCAGGCACTGGTACCCTGGCGTGCCTCGCACGGCCATGGGTTCGACACCAGCTGGCTGCGTATGACAGTGATGGATGCCGGTGTACTGAAAATAGAATCAGTTCTGAGCAGCAGTGGTGAAGTGGAGGATGCAATCACAATACAGAAGGGACCGTCAGCCGGATAAAGAGGGTCTCTGTCGTAGCTTGTAAGGCATTGATGTTAAAGGCTTTAGGAGACATTGTGACTTTCCTTTGCAAGTCATATGCACGGGATTGTGTTGAGCGGGACAATGCACGCTTTCTGCACAATGCTGTTGTCTGTGTAGTGTCAACTTAAAATAATCATTATTGATTTTAAAGTATGCCAATAGTAAAAATGCCAAATGCTCCATTGGCGTATTTCAAGTAGCTAGGTTTGCATTGGCAGCACTTGAACAGACCAACCTTACGCTCTGCATGCCGTCACTGGACTCTGTATGCCCAGCTACATGACATGTATCTACACAGATACAGACCGACCAGCATTGCAATTCTAGTCTCAGATACGTTAGGCACCGGCGGATTATGCCGGCAGAAAAATTGCCAGAATTCGGTACTTTTTCTGGTAATTTTCATGCATGTTTGGTATGTGGATAAAGAAATGGAGCAGAATTCGAGGAATTGCCCGCCATAAGGTTTGTATGGTTCTGCCAATTTCACTGCTTTTGGAGCAGAATCTGCCACCTTTTCGAGCAGAATCCGCCACCTTTTCGAGCAGAATCCGCCGGTGCCTAGTACTGTATACATGTACGCACATGTACATGACCGATTGTATTGAACCACATGTGGATCACTATCGTCTGTCGGATTGATCTTTCTACCAGAGTTACGATACACTCATATCGGAGACTCCCTCGATTTAGGCTAAGGCCTGTGGAGAATCCATAAATACAATACAATATCTCTCTTATCCGCACCTCGAAGATATGTGCACCTCAGTTTACCACTAGTACCAGGCACCCTTTGGTCAAGTGGGCGGGAGTGATTCAGCCCCATACCTCTACTCACCAATCGAACCTAGAGAGGTGCGCATCGTATCCAGATTGCAAGGTTTTAAGCTAGCCTGCCTTCCTTATGTATGCCTGAAATAGGTTGTGTTTCGTCAGGTTTTGACATGTTCCTTTCTTCTCAGTATTCTCGCTCGCATAGTACTCCACTTCTATGATAATATTGCCTATGCTGTTGCTCATTAGGATTTTGGCAAATTCTATCCTTCGCTTTCATATAACTGGGCCAGGAACCCGTTTGAACTTGCGAAGTAAAATAAAATCAATCAATCAATCAATCAACCAGCCAATATACATTTGTAAACAGACATGACATGAGCCAGGCAAAATTCGGACTGAAGAATTGTCGATCCAGAAGCTAAGTACGAGTCGTACAGTAAGCAATCGTACACATGTAATGCCGATCAAGGGCGTAATAAATAAAATAATATTCGCGGGATCCGCGTCGGCATCGCTTGAATGTTCAGAAACACACAAACTAGCCTTCGCATACGCAGGCCACCACTATGCCTGTTCACCTAAGTGGCGAATGCAGACCTCACAAGTGAGTCAGGGGAGATTATCAAGGGCGTCCCCAAGGAAATATGGTGCGATGCAATAGGATACACATGCCTAGCGCCTGGCAGAGAGAACTCCTCACTGTCGATCTCAGTGCAGTGCATTCACTATGTGGTATGTTCACTGATAAGCCATGTAATCCAGCAAGTGTTTCCACTGTCAATCACGTGTCACATGGTCTACGCATGCAGGCGTGCCATCCACATGCCATTCCGTAGAATTACATAATTGTGCATATCCACCAGTGTTCAATGGTGTTGTTTCACACCTTGAACCTCATGTCAATGCTCGCCAGATGACGACGCGACTTGCAGTCTGTGTCATTATCCCGCACTCCAGCGCCACGCGTGCACGAGCCGACGACTATGACGGAGATCTGTCTTACTAACTCAGTGTCTAGAGCAAGCACACACATACAAAATTGTACACACACCTTGGTCCTTGGTAACACTGCCATCAAATGGTCACGTGTCCCCTGTGCAGGGGTCGACAGCACTGAGTTCAGCATTGGACCCAGAAACGCCGCTCTACTTCCTGGACAGGAAATTAGCACAGCTATGCAGGTCGAAACCACGGGATGACTTGCAGCAGCGACCGCAGCCGAGACAATGCGCTCTGCAGCAGGGCACACACACACACACACACACACACATACAACGATACTTGTGACAAACAAACACACACACACACACATACACATGTACATGTACAAAGACACATATTTCTCACCAGGCCTCTGCTCAGCGACTGAGCAAGGAGGTCCCATGACCCAGGCAGCAAATATTGTTCGGGATGAGTACAGATTGACACCTTGGCTGTCATTGCTGATGACAAGTAATGTATGGCACTTCGTCATCATCGACTCGGCCCTTGCAAATATGAGAAAGTGCTTCGCACTAATCACTTGCCCAGTGCTCCAAGATGAGTCAGGATGGAGCATTGATCCACGCGCCAGATCTGCCTACACATACATGTACTGTACTCGTAAACCATGTCGATCTCCATATAGATCTACTGTTGTCGACATGGAAATCGGGTCGCACGTCTAGCGGCCCCAGGGTGCTGGTCATGCAGCCGCGGATAAGCGGTACACACATGCATTTTATGCGCGGCAGCGCGCGCGCTAGTCGCATCGGATCAAGACAATACCGGTATGCGCCCTGCACGCAGCGTTCTGTACGCGCTGAGGGCGCCGGCCCCGGTCAACCAACCGGATTTCCATGTCCACGACAGTACATGTAACTGCACTTCGTGCGAAAGACTTGAAGGCTATCAGACGCTGACGCTAGGCCCCGGAGGCAAAGCAGTGTAGTGCGTCACCCAGACAGTCTGACGGGCGCCGCGTCAGGCGTCCCGGCATCTCCAACATGATATTCTGACCTTGCCATGTCATGATACGACGGGAGTGTGATCTTTTCTGTTTCGAGCATATCTGCATGACCAGTGCACACAATTTCCGGAGAGCTAGCTGTTTCAGCCTTTTAGCACGCAAGGCGATGACAGGTGATGATGGGCGAGGCAATTATGATACCCTGGGCAAAGACAGGTAAGTTTAATACCTCGTTCTCAATCCTATGATGGAAGTTAGTTATGATCACAGGTGCAGACAAGTACTCTCGGCTTGGCTTGGCTTTCCTTGGCGGTTCACTCAGTGACGGGCAAGATCGCGCCAGCTCTTCCGATCCTAGCTGCCAGGCTCCAGTATGCACCGGTCGTTGCGTAGCCCTACCTAGACCTGCGAACAAGGTAAGGGGCAGCGAAATGGTGCAAGGTGCGAACTTTACTGGCACGATTGTATTTCATTGCGCAGCACTGTGCATGTACTTCGAAGTCAGATAGGCAGCAGTTGCCACGTGACATCCCACCAGCGACGCGTGGGCAGTTAGGGCCCCGGTTATGCCCAGGCAGCTTATCTGTATCCGTGCCCGTGCCACAGAGTGCAAGTGGATCCGTAGACCTACCAGGTAGATCTGCTCTCCGCCATCAAGATCTCTGTTTCGCCAGTCTGGATCATGGAGTGAACCAACCTTGCGAGGTGATCGGGCCAACGCCGTGGGAGATGAGTCTGATAATCTCTGTACTACATGATGGACGTCTCTGCACAGTGAGTCGTGGCGTCTAGAGCAGAGAGACGACACCAGACCACAGTAATGTACATGTACATGTACATGTACATGTACATGTACATGTAGATCTACCCGAAACAAGGCCGGCCGGTGATTTCGACTCCGGACCGTTGGACATTCCACGAGATCGGTGGTCTGCGGATCTCGTGACCGTGGCCTTGACCTGCGCGGTGCCAAGGGCAAGCGGGCGTAAGAATCGGTCCTGCCCCAAAGGGCAACTACATACATGTATAGCAGGGAATCCGGATCCGCAGGATCCAGGAGCGATACCCACGTCATTCCCAGTTGTTCGTGTCGTCTCCCTAGCTACATGTACGTGTACATGTACATGTACATGATTGTATTCTACGACTCCCTGATGTAGAATCAAGTCCTGCTTGGAAGCGGAAGAATTTTTCCAGCCGTGGCACGAGGGAAGCATGGATGCAGGGAATGGGATTTTCGGTCTTTGGTGGTGGTGGGTCTGATCTACTCACCTCCCAGGCTCCCACCGCTTTAGGAGCTGCATCTGCGCCTTGATCTTTGAGGGTGCTGGCGTGCCAGCGGATGCGGAAAAATTCGGTCTCCAGGCGAGTGCACGAACCGTGAATTTTTTTCTTTCTTTCTGTTGATGTAGAATCTACACGTGCACGAGTATCTTTGCATACCATGATTTGGGCATTTGCAGGTACATGTACACACTACATGTACGTATTAGTACATGTACATGTACATGTCTGTACATGACATGTACACGGATGCAGTCTCTGTGATTTTTTCACATCTACATGGCTTTATCTCGCCCGTAAAAGAGGCCGTTACCCCGTCAAAAAAAGTACTTCTGAGGAGCGGACACCGGGATGGTGATGGAGCCCCCCCCCCCCAGCGAGAATACACTTACCAATTCTTGGTTTGGCAGATGGTCGGGCTGGGCAGGCCTTGAGTCAAGTAAGTTGAGACATGCTGGGGATAGTGCGAACACACAAGGTGCCAACGGAGGGAAGTAATACTTAGTTGTCTGACTCTAGGCAGTTGGACGTCCATGTTTCCGAAGTTCCATAACAGGCGGCGTCAAGATTCATCTCGTGGTATGTCACATGTACATGTACATGTACATGTATAACCGAGGACGCGGTCGTGCATATTCCAGATTATCACTTGGAGGAGGCAAGAAAAAGACCTGGATGCCTTGGCCAGGTAGACAGTGATCCCCCATTCTCCACCATCACTAAACTGGATTGTACTGCCTCGCTGATCTTGTCGCGTGCACTACTATGTTAGTATGTACCAGGCACAGCAAAATAAGGAGGTGCGCACGCACCCAAACACACGCACGCACGGATTTGCATGCAACACACAAGCACACATCATAGTCGTGGCCAAAGTAACACGTTAGTTGCAAAGAGATCCAACCCGCGATACGAGTTGAGTCATACCGTCTACAGTACTCAGTAGCGCCGAGCTTCCATTTCCTGTCATGTTTGTTCCCAAACCTGAACCGAGGCCGCGCCGAGGGCCGTAGGGGCCTCATTACATGAGCGCTGCTTTCGGCGTGTTGGATTGGATTTCTTTGCCTTTGGCCCCCAACTGCACTATGTACATGTACATACTACATGTACATGATTTATTTGTATGTACATGACATTGTGCACGCCCATTGCAAAAGAAGCACGCAAATCTGCAAATGCGCTGGATTCGCACGGACAGATTTTCATATACATGTACATGTACATGTATATGTACATGTATATGACTTGTAGTATTATTACAGTACAGTCATGTACATGACTGTATGGTATGGTATTGGTATTAAAATAAATAAATAAATTTCACGGTTCGCGTGAGACTCGGCTGGAAGCCGAGTTTTCCGCATCCGCCGTGGGAACGCCACCACCCTCTAGGATCAAAGGCGCAGATGCAGCGCCTAAACGGTTGGAGGTGAATAGATCAGACCCACCACCAAGTGGTCAAAGACCGAAATCCCATTAGCTGCATCCATGTTACCCTCGTGCCAGGCCACGAGTTCCCAATTAACTGTGGGTCGCAGCACGGCTGGAAAAATTCCTTCCGCTTCCAAGCAGGACTTGAACCTGGTACCCTCTGTTTCTCAATCATGGTCTTAGACCATCCCACTATGCCTGCCTGTGTATTGTGTATTGGTATTGATTTATTTGAATTCGGTATCTCAACAGTACATTGTACAACTTGGGAAGATCCGAATGACATAGATACATAAACATAAAAGTGGAGTAGGTGCTACAGCTGATCATTTTATCGCAGGATGTGGGACTAAACTAATACCAGTATGCAAGCACACAAGAAGTAAAAGCTGGATAAATACGACTGCATGACATTGGAGAAAAGCACCAATTAGAGCAAAACAAAGCGACTGTAGTCTTTGAAGTACTACAAAGTCATGTAGGATAGCGGACAAGATCTGAATGAAACAGATCAGAACTAG